ATGAATGGAATGGGTAAGAAGCACCAGACACAGGGTTCTCGACCCACTTTTGGGTCACAAAATCCAGTGTACCCATCGCAATCCTGATCGAATAATACCCTTAGAGTCGGGTGGGTGCCAAAGTGACTGTAGATGCCTCTGCAATCCAAGATAAGTGTATGTATAAAGTCACACACTCCAATAGAATTTCAATCAAAAACGGTTTATTGACTCGATTGCTATCACATCATATAGCGACATTTCGGAACAACAGCGGTTCCTTCTTCAGGCAAACAGAATGCCACAGAATTCTGTTTGCCTGAAGAAGGAAGCGCTGTTGTTCCTAAATGTCGCTATATGATGTGATAGTAATCGAGTCAATAAACCGTTTTTGATTGAAATTCTATTGGAGTGTGTGACTTTATACATACACCACTTTTGCGTCACGACCCATGAGTTGAGAACCAAGGATCCAGAGAACAGATCACTACTGAGCTCCATCTTTGCAGATACTCACACCCTATGACCGTCTTCATTCATATCTATGGATAACATTATATATTTTAAGGAGAAGAAAAATAAATAAAAATTTAAAAAAATTGGGCGGAGCAAGCAGTGACAGCTAGCTCCACCCAACTGTTTCCTATTGGACAGCACCTGCCAGAGTCTTCTTGAATGAATAACAACTGGGAAGATGCGGCCGGGATGTCACGACCAGCGCCGCCCAGTTGTTATTGTTTAATGACAGATCAGCGTCCCCAAGTCATTTGGGGATGTTGATCTGTCATTATAACTATGTGGAGCGAGCCATGAGATCATGGCTGGCCCTGCCCAGCTGTCATTTGCGGGGTGAATGGCCGGTCTTCGGCAGCATGTGCCTTCGGCTTGTCTGAGACGCTCAGCCACCTTCAGCTGCTGTACGGGCTATTGTGAATAGCCTGTACAGCAGCCCTTTGGTTCGACTGAAACGAAGGGCTCAGGCGGCCGAAGAGAGAAGAAGGAGCTCTGTCTGCATCCTGCGGCTCAATAGTGGATAACCCCCTATATAGTTTCTGAAAACAGAGACCCTGGAAAATAAAATGGTGGCAGTTTACATTTTTTATGTCACACGATATTTGTGGCACTGTTTATCAAACCTAAATCTTTAGTAAAAAAGGCATTAAAATTAATTTTCATGTACAGAAACACTATATCATCTAATGTTTGGTATAATTGAAAGGATGAGGTTACGTCAAGTAAAAATAAACCAAACATTAATTTTTAAAGTCACAAACCCATGACATATTAACAGACTTTGGTGCTTAAAATTATCAATAAGCAACTCTTAAAAAAGCTTTTATAGGTCATTAGTTGGGCATTTACCATGAATAATATCAGTTAATGAATGCTCTTACTCTGGCATACATTAGAGATATATGTATATAAGATATGTGACACATGTGTAGTCATGGTTGTTTCCATTAGACAAAACACAATAAATAAGGTTACCACCCCTCTGTTTTTTTTTTATTTCTGTCGGTGTTATGTTAGGATGATTTCTCACAAATTTCTGACTCAGTAACAAAGTTGGAATCAATTGATGGGTCTATTAGACTCATAGGTGACAGTAATAAAGTTAAGTAAACAAAGTAAAAAAATTGCCTATAAAAAAAACACCAAAATGTTTTGAAAACACCTCACTCCCACATGCATGCACATACATACCTATTCACTTGTATTGTGTTTGTTTAACCAAAACTCAAAATATTTATAGAAGCACTTTAACAAAGACTCTCCAGATTTCTTTTGACTTTGATGGTACAATTATAGTGTCACCTATTATCAGGCCCGGATTTCCCACAAGGCCACCGAGGCCCGGCCTCGGGGCGGCAGAGCGCAGAGGGGCGGCAGCGGTGACCTTGTGGTGACATATTGTCCTCCCTCCATATATTAGAATGTTAATGGACGTGTCCTGGTTGTGATTCTGAGGGAGAACTGAAAAAAAAGCAGCCAAAACTGCCCAATTACAATGTGAAGCAAATCTCGCCTTTTTACCCAATGGAGATCCAGCACATGTAGGTGAATGGTGGTGAAATGAATATAAGCGGTAAAAGCTTTTAAAGCATCGCCTATGGCCAGTTTTGGGTATGATAGTTTTTTGCAATTTTAAGGCTTAATATGTCTGGTGTCTATTTACCCGACCTGACCCCGCCTTTTATATTTTCCCAAAAAATGTGGGTAACAATAAATGTTTTGTAACATAACGTAGAAAAAAACTTTTTTTTTCAAAACTTTCGGTACTTGAATAGTAAAAAATAAAAACCCCAGTGGTGATTAAATACCTCCACACGAAAGCTCCACGTGTTCCCAAAACATGGTATAAAATTAATTTCAGTACAGCGTTGCATGACGGAATAAATGTCAGTCAAAGTACCGCAGCCCTGAATACTGAAAAATGGCCTGGCCAGGAAGGGGGTTTACCACCCTGGTCTTCAAGTGTTAATATACTCCTCCCCCTCCTCCACTTCCAGGACATTGTACGAGTTTTGTAACATTTACGTAAGAATGGGCTTTTCTGTAAGTTTGAGAAATGTGAACTTGACCAGTCCTGGGTTGCCTTTTTGTGCTACATTACCTCCTCAGAGGGATTCTCCATGGATCCATAAATCCACCGAAGGTGTTGGCTGTTTTACAATGGCCTTGCCCTACTGGTCTCTGCTCCATTCAATGTTTCCCAACATGATTTTGCCAACTATTATCAAAAATGTATGAGAAATGTTTCTTCTCTAGCAAAACCTATCTCAGACCTGACTACGAAAGGCAGTGATCCACACAATTGGTCTCCTGCTGCCATTAAGGCCTTCAAAGCCCTTAAAGGAGAACTATGGGGTTAGGGCTTTTCCCCATAGTTCTCCTTAGGGTAATGGGAGGACACAAACAAGCATCCTCTCGTCACCCTAAGCTAAGTACCCTAAGCTCAGTAGCTCAGTTGTAGCTCGCAGTATACTGAGACGCCGCAGCTTAAGTGGATCCAGACAATTATGTCTGGATCCGCCCAGCTGTGTGAGTGACAGCTGGCTCTGCCTATCTAGAGTCAGAGCCAGCTGTACCTGCCCCTCCCCCGTCCGTTCCGCCTGTCAGCGCTGGAGGATCGGAGCGGAGAGGGGGGAATCCAGTCCCTCCCACGTCAGAGAGCCGTGACAGGATCGAGAAGTGAGCGAACGCCAGTATGTGTTCGCTCACTTCCTGATCTACTGAGCTGTCCTGTGACAGTCTCATTGTCACAGGTCAGCTAGAACTATGAGGTGAGTGAGAAGCACCCACCTCATAGAGCTCCTTTAAATCTGCATTAGCTTCTGATATAATCCTGTCTTACCCCAAGCCTACCTTGCCTTTTATCCCTTGAAGTTGATGCCGTCCTGTCTCAATGCCCTACCCCAGATGATCCCTTAAACTCTAGTGGGTTCTATTCTAAAAAGTTATCTCCTGCCGAGTGCAATTACCAGATTGGAGACAGAGAACTGTTGGCCATAATTCTAGACACTAAAAGAGTGGAGACAACTGCTTGAGGGTAATGCAGTTCCTGTTCTTATTCTAACTGATTATAAGAACTTAACCTAACTTATTTTTTTACAGATATTTGCTTTTATTGTTTAATGTTTTGATGTTTTGAATGTTTGTTTTTTTTTACCCATCCCAAACTGTATAAATACTGTTTAGATTTTCGATTATGCAGCGCCAACACAGAAAGATATACTATATAATGTGAACAAATATTAGTGACTGTACAATGTAATGTGCATCGTGATAAATAAATGGATATGAAGGCTGCAGCAAAAAAAGACTACACGGGTCAAAGCATAAACATTTTTCGATTATGCAGCGCCAACACAATGGTAAATTAGTGATTAATTATATAACGTGAACAAACACCATTAATTATATAATGTGAATAAGTGTTATTCAGTGAAACTAAATGAAATACATGTGAAACTGTGTCCACTTTTGAAAAAATTGAAAAAAAATAAAAAAATTAAAAATAAAAATAAAATACAGAGTGAAAGAGTCCAACGAGTGTTGTGTATTTCTTTTTTTCAAACACGTGAATAACAAAAAAGTGTTCCAAGCATGAGCAGGTTGTGAATTCAGGAAACAGTTCCGTGATGTTTGTTTGGGGATGCCGGCAAATGCCGTGTAAATCCCCTCAGGGTATATACTCAACACAATGTAGTGGCTGTGGTAAGCAGCCTGAAGAGCTTTTAGAGAAATGAATTCTCCTGAAGTTGTGGTGTCCCCACTGCAACTCTCGACGGTCTGTGACCAGTAAATGGTTTATCTTCGGGATCATACAAGAAAAATACCTCTCATAGTGTAGAAGTTTCAAAAGGATTTTATTCGAATCAAATAAGACTAAAACAACGAAATCCACAGGCAAAGACCAAAAAAAAAAAATTCTAAGAAAAATGTTCTGATCGGCAAAACTACAAAATCCTGTATCTGGTGTAGCGTGAGGTTAGGCCCGCCCCGACGCGTTTCGTCTTATCGACGTCCTCAGGGACCTGCTAAACCCCTGAGGACGTCGATATAAAAAATCACCTGACAATATCATATGACATATATACATTGCACTGGAATTGAATTTTCGAAATATCAGTAAATGTTCTTTTTGAAACATCTATTGACCTAGTGAGTGAGATAAAGATGTGTTCCATTGTATTATACAATCCAAGTAAAGAAACATTAGAGTTTTCCCCCTTTGCACATAACTGGAATTCATCTTCACCTTATTTACTAAGCTAAGTGAACATACAGATTGCTAAGTAAACAGTGTCTAGTATATCAGTATATCAACCCCAAAGTGTCTTTGAACGAGAGTTGTGTTTATGGCATCAGCACAGTCTTGTCAATGGGGCCAATCTCATGAATCACATTCTGAACACCTGCTTGGGTTTCTCTCCGGTGTGGATACTCTGGTGTTTACTAAGATTTCTTTTTTTGTCTAGCACTTGTCACATTCTGAACACATTTTAAAATGGCTTCTCTCCAGTGTGAGTCCTCTGGTGAATAGTAAGATGTTTCTTTTGTAAGAAGCACATTCCACATTCTGAACATCTATATGGTTTCGCCCCAGTGTGTATCCTCTGGTGATCAGTAAGTGTCATCTTTTGTCTGAAGCTCTTGTCACATTCTGAGCATTGAAAAGGTTTCTCTCCAGTGTGTATCCTCTGGTGTTTAGTAAGATGTATCTTTTGTGTGAAGCTCTTGTCACATTCTGAACATTGAAATGGTTTCTCTCCAGTGTGTATCCTCTGGTGAATAGTAAGCTGTTTCTTTTGTATGACGCTCTTGTCACATTCTGGACATCTATATGGTTTCTCTCCAGTATGAGTTCTCTGGTGTTCAGTAAGTGTTATCATTAGTGTGAAGCTCTTGTCACATTCTGAGCATTGAAATGGTTTCTCTCCAGTGTGAATCCTCTGGTGTTTAGTAAGTTTCCCCTTAGTTGTGAAACACTTGCCACATTCTGAGCATTTGAATGGCTTCTCTTCAGTGTGAATTCTCTGGTGTTCAGTAAGATTTTCCTTTTGTGTGAAGCTCATTCCACATTCTGGACATCTATATGGTTTTTCTCCAGTGTGAGTTCTCTGGTGTTCAGTAAGATAGCACTTTGTTGTGAAGCACTTGTTACATTCTGAGCATTTAAATGGCTTCTCCCCAGTGTGAGTCCTCTGGTGAACAGTAAGATGCCACTTTGTTGTGAAGCGCTTGTTACATTCTGAGCACTCAAATATCTTCTCTCCTGTGTGCCCTCTCTTGTGTTGAGTGAGATGTGTCTTGTCAATTGGTTTCTCTTCATTGTGAATCTTCTGGTGAATTGTAAGAAATGACGTTGAAATGAAACTTTGCTCACACTCTGAGCACTCATATAGCTTGTCTCCTCTGGGATCCATCCAGTTATAACAAATAACAACTTAGCAGCAGTATATTTTCAGACTGCTTAAATCCAAAATTCAAGGATAACAGTGGATTCCTACAAAAAAAAAATACATTGTTAAAGCATTATAGAATGTTGACAACATATCAAATTCATACCTACCTCTACATTACTACTCTCCGACCTCTACATTACTACTTTCCTACCGCTACATCACTTCTCTCCTACCGCTACATCACTACTCTCCTACCGCTACATCACTTCTCTTCTACCTCTACATCACTCTCTCCTTCCTCTACATCACTACTCTCCTACCTTTACATCACTACTCTCCTACCTCTACATCCCTACTCTCCTACTGTAATATCTAAATTTGCCTTGGCTTCCTGAAATAAGCTAACTTGCTATTCTCTGCTTCCAATGATGATAACAATACAATGGTTAAAAGAAGCAATGGTCTTATTTATTTATACACAAATCTAACCAAACATAATAAAAGATAGAAACAGACACAATAAGACAATCGAGAGAATACTTTACACAGCAAGTCCGTCCTCTGGTTCCTATATCCTGGCTGGGCTCAAAGAGAGAGCAATATTGCCGCGCACTGACTTTTATACCCATTCATACACATACATCGACACCCCCTTTACCCAGAATTCCGCATGTCCCTTAAATGTCTTTCGGCCAATCGGCATGGTCCTTCACATTTGTCCACATGCACTGTAGTCCTCCAACAGGGGGCACCATCGTACTGCAGATCATTCCTTGGCCTAGGTCAACACCTTGTCCTTTGATCTTTAGACAATGGCCAGTCACATTCATATGCAAAATCTGGATATCTTGAACATGTCTTCCCAATGTGCCTACACCCTTATCAACACCACAGGGTGCAAAGCTTGATGTCTTGTCCCGATGAAGAAATGTCACCTTTCTCATCTCCCCTGCCATGCCCCAGGCATGAACAACACACAGTTGGTCTCTTTGATGAGCAATGCAATCAAGATTTGAAGATATCTGTTCGGCAGCTTTCGTACATGAAAATGTTGTACACTCCAACACCTACCTCTACATCACTACTCTCCTAGCTCTACAGCACTTCTACAGCACTTCTCTCCTACCTCTACATTACTACTCTCCTTCCTCTACATCACGTCTCTCCTACCTTTACATCACTACTCTCCTACCTTTACATCACTACTCTCCTACCTTTACATCACTACTCTCCTACATCTACATCACTACTCTCCTACCTCTACATCACTACTCTTCTACCTCTACAGCACTTCTCTCCTACCTCTACATTACTACTCTCCTTCCTCTACATCACGTCTCTCCTACCTTTACATCACTACTCTCCTACCTTTACATCACTACTCTCCTACCTTTACATCACTACTCTCCTACATCTACATCACTACTCTCCTACCTTTACATCACTACTCTTCTACCTCTACATCACTTCTCTCCTACCTCTACATTACTACTCTCCTTCCTCTACATCACGTCTCTCCTACCTTTACATCACTACTCTCCTACCTTTACATCACTACTCTCCTACCTTTACATCACTACTCTCCTTCCTCTACATCACTACTCTCCTACCT